TTAGATCATTATAAAATACACACAATAAAATGTACCATTGGAGCAATATCAAGTGGCATTAAGAACATTCACGTTTTTACACAGCCATTCTGCTTTATGTCTCATGTTTGACTCCTCGGATGTATGTGACTCACACGACGTTTGGGGTCTGGTTACTTAACTGACATAACACCCTCCGGGGTCCTCCTCCTCAGAGCGCTCTGTTAGCACTCCTCTTCTGTTTGATGCTGAGTGCTATCCACTGTGCGTGTCCTGCTTTGCCTGATCACTCCCCAGTGGCCACTGAGCTGTTTCTAACTTTTGTTTCTTGTTTGTGATGAGGTCTCACTATGTAGTCCTGCCTGGCCTAGAACTCAGTATGGCAGCCAGACTGGCCTGGATCCTCCTGCCTCTGTCATCCTGAGTGCTGGGGTTACCAGCACATGCCACCTTTGACTACTGTGAATAATGTGGCATGAAATGGGTATCCAAGTGTCCTTACTTCCGGCTTTCCAGCTTGGATGTGTGCTTGAGTCGATCTGAGCAGTTGTTTTCTAAGAACCATGGGAAAGGGACGAGAAAGGAATGATAGAACCCAAGCTTCTCCTACCCGTCCCTCCCTTTTTCTTTTTGAGATGGCTGGAGAGTGTAGCTCTGGCTGCCCTAAGCTCATTGTGTAGACTAGGCTGGCCTCCAATGTATAAAGATCCGCTTGCCTTTGCCTCCTAATTTTAACATTCCATCTGAGACTGTCTGATGGAGCTGCCTGTTCTCTGTCCCCAGAATGCCAAATATATAAGTTTTGGGTCACCTGCTAGAAGGTCTTGCAACTGTACAACTTGCTAGCCTCATCTCCCAGATCTGTCAATTACTTGACGCTTGTTCATGTATGCTCGGTGCCAGCCTGGTGGTGGCAGGGCCTTGATAAAGGTGAGTGAGTGACACAGTGACAGGGGCTTTGCCAGTGTTACTATAATAGCTTTCCCCCAAATGAAAACTGTCTATTAATGCAATTCGGGACAGCTCGCACAACCTCTCGATATCTGTGGAGGATGTATGTGTATATCTGTAATTGCAGAAAAAGGCTCTGGACACTAGTGGTAGTGACAACTTTGACCAGTGAAGTCCTCTTGAGCTTCCTTCCATTTCTATATTTGTTTATTTTTGAGACAGGTCTCATGTAGCCCAGGCTGGCTTCAAACTTGAAACATAGCCAAGGATGACCTTGAACTTCTGACCCCCTTTTACCCCCCCCCCTGAGTCCTGCAATTACAGGCATGCATTCCCATGCCTGGTTTTCTCCTCCGAACTGAAGTCCTCGGTCCTTGGCAAAGACTTTAGAAATAGTATGTGATTCCTCAGGTCTGACCTGGTCTAGTGGGGACTGTCGGCCTTCGGCCTCTGGATCTGACCTGGTCTAGCCTTCGGCACTTCAGGTTTTTGGAGAGAGCTGAGATTGAACTTGTGTTGTTGCTTTTCTTAAAACTGTAACAAAATACTTGACAGAAGCAATTCAAGGGAGAAGAGCTTTATTTTAGCTCACGGTGTCAGGGAAATGTCAGTCCGTCATTCTGCGGAAGGCATGGCAGGGACATGGGGCAACGGCAGGTCATGGGGTGCAGACCAGAGAACAAAGACAAGGCTGGCAACCAGAGATGGGTAGAAGAATTTCAAAAGGACTGCCCCGCATGACCTACCTCTGCCAGACAGAAGCATGCAACCTAGGCTGGCTTAGAGCTTGCTATGTAGACGAAGATGACGTTGGACTTCTGATCTTCCCTTCTTGACTTCCCAAGTGCTGGGATTACAGACGTGCGAAACCATGCCTATTTTCATGCAGTGCTGGGGATCAAACCCAGAGCTCCTTGCAAGCTAAGTTGAACACTCTACTGATTGAGCTACATCTCAGTTCAGACCTCAGCTTCCAAAGGCTCTATAACATTTAACTTAGTAGCACAAGCCACTGGGTTCTGAGTCTTTAAAATATGAGCCTACTGGGGGGCATCCCAGATTCAAGTAATACGTTAATTGATTTGTTATCAAGATAGAAATAATATCTGCACAGTTACTGTAAAAAGTGAGAAGCAAAAAAAAAAAAAAAAACATATGGAAGTTTGAGGTACAAAATGTGGCTTGCAGTACTCAGTACTCAATAAACGCTCGCTGTGAACTCCGTCCTAGGATGGTTTCTATGGATGTGATCTTACGGCACACTGGTGTCCATTTGGCTAACCAGATTTCTTCTTTTACAGATATGCCTTTAATTTGGAGAATTGGAGTCCTTGATTTTTTGGGTTTAGAATTAAAATAACGTTTGAATAACTTAAGTCCCAAATGCAGAATGCTATTGACTACCACCGTTTGGTGGAATGTGTGGATGCCCTTTGCTTGCTGTAAGGGAGGTTCAGGATTTACCTGTTTGTCCAGTCCTGCTGAACCTGTCTCGTTATTCTCTGCAATAGCTGATGGTGCCATTCTTCCCTGTGCGAGTGGAATCTTGCTCTGTTGAGGTCAGATAATGCCAGCGATTTTCCACCATGTGAACAGTGGAGGGATGCAGCTAGCCACATCCTCTGTTGATGCCGCATCGGAATTTCTTGGCAGGCACTGGAAGGCGTGGCTTCCCATTATACATCAGGCAGTTTCTGTGCTTCTCCAGCTCAGCTGGTGTTTACGGCAGACGGCAGAGTACCAGCGCTTCCCTTGCCCCTCTGCAGCCACCATCAAATGTACCACAGGATCAAATGATTCTACGGAGACTGGGGACAAGGTTTCACAGCCTAGCTGACATTTGGCTTTTTAAAGTGAGGAATCTCACTCTTTTCCTGCTGGAGCCAAAACCATATGGGGGTGGCGAGGAACATTCCAGACTCCATAATTCAAGATTAAAGTGATGCAATGCAGAATTCCTTCCAGGACTTGGTAAGCAGAGAGCCAAGGCATACAGCATTGGTCAAGTATTTGGAAAACTTCCCTAGGTACCATCTCCATGGAAACAAGCTTGAGAGCTGTGGCAAAACGCTGGTCTTCTTCTAGCTTAGCAAAAGACATCTTTGTTTGTTTTGGGTGTTGGGGATTAACCCCAGAGACTACTCTGAACAGAATAAAAAAGAATGCTATGCAAGATTTCTTTTTATTTTTAGATGAAAAAGTTTGAAAAGGAAAATTTATGTGGAAATATTGACTCTATATATTTCTTTTTTCAAGACAGGGTTTCTCTGTGTAGCCCTGGCTATCCTGGAACTCACTCTATAAACCAGGTTGGCTTTTTTTTTTTGTTTTGTTTTTTCGAGACAGGGTTTCTCTGTGTAGCTTTGCGCCTTTCCTGGATCTCGCACTGTAGACCAGGCTGGCCTCGAACTCACAGAGATCCGCCTGGCTCTGCCTCCCGAGTGCTGGGATTAAAGGCGTCCGCCCGGCCCAGGTTGGCTTTTAACTCACAGAGATCCACCTGCCTCTCCTTCCTAAGTATTAAAGGCATGCACCACCATTGCCCAGCAACCCTATATTTTATGGAGACAATTTAGTTAAGAAAGTCTGGTACTAGTTTAGGAAAAAAAAAAACAAAACAGATTAGAGTTTTCCAAAACTATTTGAATAAACTTGGGCATTTAATTAGTATATGATAAAGAAGGTACCTCAGTTTTGTGAGAAAAGTGTAGCCACACACTTGCCTCTCAAGACAAAAATAGCTTCATATCTTATACCATATAAAATAGAAATGTAAAATGAGTTAAAAATATAAACATAGACTATCAAGCCATAAAGAAGAAAAATGTAGGGCTGATGTCTGAATGCCCCCAGGAACGGAGGATATCTTCACAAGATGAGAAACTTAGAGGCCATGAGAGAACAATAGCCCTTTGTTGTTTCGTTTGTTTGTTTTTTGAGACAGGGTCTCGATTTGTAGCACTGACTGGCCTGGAACTCACTCTGTAGACCAGGCTGGCCTTGAACTCACAGAGATCCGCCTGTCTCTGCCTCCTAAGTGCCGGGATTAAAGGGGTACGCTATCACACCTGGCAAAAATACCCAACAGCCTTAACTATATAAATTTTAATTATGAGAAACATCAAGCAAAGTCAAAGATAAACAGTAAATTTATCAAAAAGATTTGAATCACACATGTTATGTACCTCGATTTTCAAAGAGCTCCCCCTAGGTAAGAAGAAAAGGTCAGATAAGGCAGACGATTCAGCGGGGAGGACAGAAAGAGGCTGGAGAAGTAAATGTGTAAAAAGGTGATAGTGAGATCTGTCTCTCAACGCTCTCAGGAGACGTCAAAGCGCCTGACCACATCTAGAGCAGCCCACTGCAAATGCGAGCTTTGGGAAAGTGTCTAGCGAACAGAAAATACCAGCCTTTTGGTGCCGGGATTTCACTTGGGAGGAGCTGTGCTGTGGAACTGAGAGTCATTTCAAGTCAATGCCTGTTCCTAGTCAGAAGGTTGCACAGTGTCTGTTTGGAGGAGAATTTTAATTCACTCTGTCATCTCTCATGGAGTCCCTCTCTCAGATTCTGTACGTTGGTTCATGCTTTCCAATGTTCCCTGTCGGGAGTCAGTGACTAGGCTCTTCTGTATCCAATGGGAATCTCACTCGGTGCTCGGATGGCTTCTTAGTATTTAATAGTACTTTGCACCAGACAGGTTTAACTTATTCAAGCCCCAAAGGGGGTTAATAAATTCTGGCATGCTTTCTTTGATCTGAGAGCAGTGAGCTCTGAGTAATGCATCCCACATAATCTCTGAGGAAGTGGGCCCTGGAGTTGCTTTGAAAAAGTGGGTTCTAGGAATTGCTTTTGGTAAAGACCAAATTCTTAATTTTTTTGAGACAAGGTCTCACTGTTATGTAGATCCGGCTGGCCTTGAACTCACAGAGATCCACCTGCCTCTGTCTATCCACTGCTGGGATTAATGGCGTGAGGTACCACATCTGGCCCAAGACTGCATATTAAAGTAGGTAAGGACCTGGTTCTCGGTTTCTAGCTCTCCCTCCTAAGCATTTTCATTTTACTTGCAGCATCAGTATGACAACCTGTTCCACGGTGGCTGCTCTGGGCATGATGCCCCTCTGCCTCTACCTCTACACCTGGTCCTGGAACCTTACACAGAATCTTACCATTCCATACCAGAGCATAGGTCTGTATGGGGCTTGGGTAAGAGTGGAGAGACCAATGGCGATTGTGCAGATAATAGATAATTACCAATTTCTTTATGTGGTGTTTAGCATTGTCCAAATCAATCCTATTAGTTTCTAGCTCTAGTTCTACTTCGTATACTTTCAGGGTTGAAGAGGTTGAGTAACTTGACAAAGACCATGCTGTGTAGAACTGAAATTTAAACTCAGGACTCTGACTCTAGCATCTAGGCTCTTAACCCCCAGGTGCTAGCTTTTGCTGGTGTAGTGAAATCCCCTAGGCAGGATGTTTATGAAGAAGAGAGATTTGCTGAGCTCACAATGTGTTTCACACAGTGTGTCTCACAATGGCTAGGTGTCCACAACCCATGGCGCATGTTCTTATGAGCCCTGCTCCCTGGCTGGGAATTTCATAGACTTAGAGGGACCACCCTCATCTCTAACCATTATATTTCTGTTATCTCTGAAGTCCCTGTGGTTGATTTTCGGAGGATTCTGAGAGAAATGGTGGCCCAGGTGTGATGGAATTTATGAGTAGCACAGACCGTACAAATACTGTCTTTCAAAGCTCTTGACTGCTAGCAATAGAAATTGCTGAGAAAGTATGGGGCATTCGGGGAGAGGGGACACTTTCTGATAGATTTTCTTTCTTTTTTAGGAATTACCCTTGTGTCCCTGATTGTTCCTGTGGCCTTCGGTGTCTATATGAATTATAGGTGGCCAAAGCAAGCGAAAGTCGTTCTTAAGGTCAGCAGCCCCTCCTCCACACAGCACATCACCAGACGCAGAGACTAAAAGGCTGAACCAATGAGCTGTCCCAGTACAGCCTGTTTCCTGCCCTTTGGCTGGGCGCCATGCCTTGTCCCTCCCATTGGCCCACACACATTTGTGACACCCTGCAAAACATGATGTTCTTAGTGACAGAAACACTCAGGCCTGACATGGGCTGAGATGGCCAGGACCTGTCCCTCTCCTGGGCTTCCCACAAGCACTTGCAAGGTGAAGCTCCTCCCTACAGCGTGCACAATGGAGCCCCAGTGTGTGGGATCCTGGGTGATTTCTTAGAACAGGATGAAGGGTTGTCTTGCCAAAGCATTCCCAGGCACACACCACTGGAGTTGTAATCGGTGACACTGTGTGAATGAAATCATCCCAAAGGCACGGAGGGGTGGCCACAGAATGGTGGGAACCTGGGTATCCTACCTTCCTGTGCTTTACGGTGCTGTCTTGTCTACTTGAGACATAAGTGTTCTTGCTAAAATGGCTTTTAAAATCACCTCGGGAGACACGGGTTTATGCTTCTTTCTTTGAAACTGAAAAAAGAATCTCAGTTGTATTTTACATGTATAAAGAAACGAGCGTTTGGGGGCTAATTGGAGGTTCAGCAAAAATGTCTGTTTATTGCAGCTTGGAGTTTATGGTCTGGTTCAGTCTAAGCTCCCTCTGCCTCTATGGGCTGCGTTCCCAGTTGAACAGTATCCAAAGAGAGCGAGAGAGGACAGGTGAGGGAGGCCCGTGTTGCACGCGCGTGTTGTGCACGTGTGTGTGTGTGTGTGTGTGTGTGTGTGTGTGTGTGTGCAGCGCTGGGTTGTCCTCATGGGATATGGCCCCTTCCTTCCCACACTCATCACTGTCACTTTAAAAGGAGAACATCCCCAGTGGGAAATGTTTACAGAACAAGAGGACAGCGTGATTATGGAAACTTTCTTTTCAAGTACTTTGTCATTAATTATTTTTCTCAAAGGGTCGTTAAAGGACAACTACAATTAAAAACACTCTATTTCAGCCTCTCTGTGTACTTGTGGTTTTGTCCATGTCAGTGAGAAACCAGATACATTTTCGGGATGTCAGTTTTGTTATCTGTAGAGAGTAGGTTTAAAAACTCCTTTCTTAAGTCAGGCGTGGAGGAACCTGCTTGTAATCCCAGCCCGTGGGGCACGGAGGCAGGAGGATGAGACGTTCAAAGTCATCTCTGCTACATAACAAATTCAAGCCCAGCCTGGCCACAGGAGACCCTTCCTAGTGTCCCCCCCCAACCAAACAAAGTTTTTCAGCAGTTATATGGGATTTATGCTAAAATATATTAAATGATATGCATAAACTAGAGCCCACAGTTTAGTCATTATTTTAGTGTTTTTATTTATTTGTTTCTTTATTTATTTGGTTTTTTGAGACCAGGTTTCTCTGTGTAACAGTCCTGGCTGTCCTGGAACTCGATTTGTAGACCAGGCTGGCCTCGAACTCACTGAGATTCACCTGCCTCTGCCTCCTAAATGCTGGGATTAAAGGTGTGTACCACCACCACCGCCGCCCAATGAGTTTTTTATTTATTTTGAGGCAGGGTCTCACTGTGCAGCACAGGCTGGCCTAAGGTCATGGTCCCACTGCCTCAGCTTCACAAATAGCTAAGATCAGGGGCATGTGCCAACAGGCCTGATACAATGTGTTATCTCCTACCCTTGGTCCCATTTGGGTTTCACACAGTTTCCCAGAAATGTCCTCACGATGGATGCTAAACTTTGACATCGCTTTTGAGAGAGAAAGAAGAGATTTTGATAGTGAGAGCTTTATGTGTGTTTCAGCATTTCCTGCTAGGTGGGAACCCCACGTCCCTGCTGGGTTTTTTTTTTTTGTTTGTTTGTTTGTTTTTGTTTTTTGGTGGGCAAGGTTACTGTGTATAGCTCAGGTTGTCTTGGACTCAGGCTGGCCTGGAACTTGTAGTAATCCTCTCCTGCCTTTGTCTTCTGAGTGCTAGGGTTCTAGATATATGCTATAGCTCCCAGCCAGATTTTGTTTTCATTAAGTCACAAAAATCAGAGACAGTACTCATGTGAGAGAGGATAGAGTATCCCTCCCCCTTACTGTGAGCTCAGACTGTCTAGTGGAAATGGGTACATCTTTGTTTTGGGAGAGAGAAGCAGGAGTGTAAGCAGTAGGATGGGATTGGTGGCTCAAAGGGGGATGGTGAGGTAGAGGGCCAGGTAAGACAGACCATGAACAGGTAGTTACCGGAAAGGGGCCTTTGGTGTTGGGGGGCGTCAGCTGCTGCTGTCATTTCCCTTTCTGAGGTGACAGGTTTGGTTCAATGTGTCACTTAGGGCTCCTGGGACCTGTACAAGGTAACTAGGTCATGAAAGTATCGCTCTTGGAAGGCATGAGTTGGGAGGCCTTGAGTGGTGGGTTAGCGCCTGTGAGGGTGGCTTGCTGCAGGGAAGCCTGACGCTGTCCCCGAGCTCTTCCACACACACACTGTCTACCACTCTTGTGCGCTTACACTGTGGTGATGCCATCCGTCATGGCACTTCATCAGTGCCGAGTGACGCCATTGCTCCTGTCTCCTGAACTGTGAGCTGAACGAACTCTTCTTTATAGAGCGCTTTGTAAGCATTAGAAATAGACTAAGACAGGCAGACATTGTCAGAGTCCAGTTAGCTCACAATTTCGTCTTATTTATAAAAACCAAGTCTTTCTGGCTCGCTTCTTGAAGGGGAAATACGCTGATCCTAAAGTAGGAAGAATTACAATCGTGTCCAACCAACCCCATTAATTTATAACTGGGTTCAGTCTCTTGACTAGCTTGGAGCTGGGGTTTTCCTAGATGCAGTCATCCTCCTATTCGGTCGGCCTTCCCTGGGTCCAGGTGTCTGCGGTAAATTCCAGAAATAAACACCTCATGTGTTTTAAAGTGGGCAGGCAGCATTACTTAGTGTGATCAAATCTTGCCCTGTCCTGTTTAGAACATGAATTGTCCCTTCGAGCATCACGTCAAACTGTGAATGCTGTGGAGGTACGACACCAGGCCCAAGTTCTAAAGACGCCTTCAGTTCCGCAGAGCCCTTCCTAGACCAGCAGATCTTAAACAGTCATTCTCTTTAGCATCTAATTAGCTTTCATTGTCAGTTTGACACAGTTCTCTGATCTGAGAGGAAAGCCTCACTTGAGGAGTTTCCTGGATCAGACTGGCCTTTGGGCATGTCTGTAGAGTTTGTCTTATTAATTGATGCGGGAGGGTCCAGACCACTGTGGGCAGCACCATCCCTAGGCAGATAGTCCTGGGCTGTAAGAAAGTTCGCTGGGAGAACTGGGAGAGGGAGCTTCAGGGATTCAGCCCCTGAGAGGCGACATATGCTCCAGTGGGTAGCTGCCTCCCTTTCCACACACTGGCAGCTGTAATTGAATCTTGTGGGTTAAAAAAAGAGGGAGAGAACACATGAAATTGGGAGGGAATAGTGGTAGTAAGGTAGAGAGAAGCAGAGAGAAGATGAGGATGGATTTGATTAGAGCCCACTGTATGCATGTATGAAACTTCCAATAAATAAAAAAGAGGTTAGTTTAAAAATATCTTAAAGTCTTGAACATTTTCCCATGAAAGATTACGTATTTATATAATATATAATGTATATTACATATACATTTAAAAAATATTTTTTAAAAAGAAAGAAAGCTAAACACGAGGCTGAGATCATAGCATTTCCCTGTGATTCCTGCCTTGAGTTCTTTCAGGAATGGACTGAGACCTGGAGGTGTAAGCCAAATCAACTCTTTTCTCCTAGCTGCTTTTGGTCAGAGTGTTTGATCACAGTAAGAGACAGGACACCAGGATGCACCAGCGTTAGCTAATCCTTTCATTACTTCTGTTATTTCCTATTTATTATTGGCATGTACTATGCCTGTGTGTTTTTTGTACCGTTATACACTGTTCCTGGTCAGAGACAACCCATCTGTTATTTTACTCTTAGTTGTTAACCTACTTCATCAGTTATGCCTGAGAAGAAAGAGCATATGCACTGTGTGTTATACAGGACCCAGCACTCACTCTATCACTGGGCACTGGGGAACACACCCCCTGTGCATAAGGGAAGGAAGGGGACTTTAACAGGAAACTTGATGTGACAACCTGAGTTCTTCTAGAACGCCTGAAGTTCAAACCTTTACACCTGTGCTGAGCATCACGGAGGGCAGAACCTCAGATGTGACTCCCCAGCACTTACCGTGTGGCTTTGCTGTAGGTCGGGGCCATTGCTGGCGGCATCCTTCTTCTGGTGGTGGCAGTTACTGGTGTGGTCCTGGCGAAGGGATGGAATACAGATGTCACTCTTCTGATCATCAGTTTCATTTTTCCTTTGGTCGGCCACGTCACTGGCTTCCTGCTGGCATTCCTCACCCACCAATCTTGGCAAAGGTATGGTTACATAACCTACAAGGGGTGTGTGTGTGTGTGTGTGTGTGTGTGTGTGTGTGTGTGTGTGTTCAGGACTCCGATTGTCAGACCTGTGTATGCTAGACACAAACTCTACCTCTTTGATTCATGCCAGGCTCTCTAAGCTTCTCTGAGGCGGGTGCACTGAATACACGCCACGCCAGGCTTTGCTCACTGTGTCAGGAAACAGGAGGGTTTTGCTTCACTTGTGGTCAGGAAGCTCGTGGTAATTCTTTACGTAGACAAAAGCCACATGGATGGGGTTTATCTAGTCAGGGTTACCATTGCAGCAATGAAACACCTTGACCAAAAACAACCTGGGGAGGAAAGGGTTTATCCAGCTTACACTTCCACACTGGAGTCCATCACTGAAGGAAGTCAGGACAGGAACTCACACAGAGCAGGAATCTGGAGGCAGGAGCTGATGCAGGGGCCATGGAGGGGAGCTGCTTACTGGCTTGCTCCCTGTGGCTTGCTTAGCCTGCTTTCTTACAGAGCCCAGGACCACCTGCCCAAATGGTCCCTCCCATAGTGGGCTGGGCCCTCCCCCATCAACCACTAATTAAGAAAATGCCCCACAGCTGGATCTTGTGGAGACATTTTCTTAATTGAGTTTTCCTCCCTTCAGATGACTCTAGCTTGTGTCAAGTTGATGTAAACTGTCAGCACAGGTGGTAGGATTGAGATCATAGTAGGGCATGAGTAAATTTTAAGAAGTTAAATCCTTGTTCATTGTGCCAGATTTTTAAAGAATTACTAGTTAAGAATAATACTTACAGGAATTTGTCTTAAATCTTATCATTTGGATTGGGGTATACATTTATAAATATTGTAAAATCTGAAAAGTGATAATACTCCATGTTGGTATGCATGCCATGGGATGAATGCCATAAAATAATAATGAGGGGGAATGGTGACAGAAGCCAGCAATAACTTTCTGAGAGGCAACTTAGTGCTGGATTGGCAGCCTCACATGCGCTCTAGCTATTAACTCAGTACTTTTACTCTGGTTGAGAACAGGGTCTTGCTATGCAGACTTGGCTGACCTTGAACGCCATGTCCTCCTGTCTCAGCCTCTTGAGTGATGGGATTAAAGGTGTGTGTCACCACACACATCGGTAATCTATTCTAGAGCTAGCTCTATCAGATATACACATGAATATTGATATAATAAGATGCTAATTGCAGTGCCCTTTTCTAAAGGTAAAAATGGAAACAATTTAAATATCTAACAACAGGGTCATGTTTATTTATGCTGCAGACATGTGACAGGCACCATGCATCAATCTCAATGATGTTGGGCGATGCTCCAGAACTGAATGTTAGTTTAAAATTTTTGATTTCTACTTTGTGGAAAAAAAGCAAAAAGAATATGGAAAAATACTGGAAGAAATGGCAGTTCTGAGCCGGGAAGTTAAGGGTGATTTCAGTTCTTTCGTATCTCCTGGGAATAGTTTCTGTTTTTCAGTAAGTGGATTTATTTTTGAATCAGGAGAGTGATTACAGGGAAGTGCTGGATTCGAAAGCCTGCTGGGGAAAGCTCAGCTTGCTCTTGAGCTGCTCCCATACTGCACCCCCAACCCACCCCCATCCCCCACTGAGCATTGCACAGGCACTGGGTGAGGCCCCACCCTGCTCTCTTCTTGTTGGACCTGACAGGTAGCTGTGATTACCCCACCGATGAGCAAGACCTTCAGAGAAGATTAGGACATAACCAAGTTCCTATAGCTAGAAAGTGGAGTTTGGATTCGAACCTGGGTTTGTTTCCAAGGTCAATGGTTAGGGGCATAGATTGTTGAGTGATGGAGATTGATGACTGCATCTGGAAAGAGAGTAAGAATTGTTATGGCCAGATGTTGTCAGCTGTCTGGTCTTTTTCATAGCCTGACAAAGATGGGCCCAGAGATAACTGCATTTGCTCTGTGAATGGTCCAGGTGGGTTGCGGCTTTGTAGTGTTAAGACACTGAGCTAGGAAGTTTGAGGGAAGGGCACTTTGCATGGAGGTGGGAGGACACAGTGTGTCAGAGAACCTGCCACTCAAAGGTATTCCCGCCCATCTCACGCCCTTGTTGCCCCCACATGGAATCCCAGCTCCACCTGAGCTCCACCTGAGCACCTTTGGACTTCATGTATGAAGGCTGCCAGCGCCTTACAAACCGGAGACAAACGGAATTGCTCTATCCACCCTCCAAGCTCCTGCCATTGCTTCCTTTCTCTCTCATTTTTCATGTTCAAGTCAGATTTATTCCATTATCTGTGAGTAGAAAGCCACAGGTGTAAAAGGGTAGGAAACGAAAGAAATTTATTATTGAACTTTTCACCAGAAGCAATCTTCCCTGATGTGTGCTTTCCATCTAGAGTTTTGGTATGCTTTTTAGTGTATTCAGTTTCACACCTCTGACTCAGTTTCCCACTCCCGTCTCCTCCAATCCTCCTCTGCATGCGAACTGGCTTGTAGTGCGAGAAGTGCCTCCTGAAGAAGTCACACTCACACTTGTGCCTGCAGCTTTCCTGGTTACACTCCCCTGATGTCGCTCACCTCTTCGTAGCATCACAACTCCGCCAAGCTCTCTGGAGCCACTGTGCCCCTTCGCTGAGTTTCTGTAGCATCTTCTGGCCCTGAGCATGGTTGCAAACCATTCTTGAGTCTTTTCTGGTGTGCATCTCGTCCTTCTACCCCAATTCCTGGGCCAGGGTTCTTGAGGCCCTATTCCACAGGGCATCCTTGCCGTATACAGAAGGGGATCCCAGGAATAACTGTCAATGAACACATCCTTTCAGTTGCCTGAGCCCATAGCTTATACTTGTCATTATTCAAAGGGAACACTCTCAAGGGTCGTTCTTTTTGCTAGTTCACGACTCTTGAATCTCTTCACTGCCAGGTGCAGGACGATTTCTATAGAGACTGGAGCTCAGAACATCCAGCTGTGCATCGCCATGCTGCAGCTGTCCTTCACTGCCGAGTACCTGGTCCAGCTGTTTAACTTTGCGTTGGCCTACGGACTCTTCCAAGTGCTGCACGGGCTCTTCATTGTCGCAGGTAGGTGAATTCCCTCTGCACACCAGTAACTGACTTGTTAACATTTTCAAGCCTACTCTGTATGTCCTGCTCTTGTGATATAATTTTAGCCTCATACTTTTGGGGACCATGAAGTATAAGGCCAGGATACTTTCATGCAATGGATGTTTCCCAGGAAATACTTAAGAAGCCATTGAGTGAGATCTTATAACCACAAACAACTACACTGTAAAAACCATCCCTCTAGCTTTTATGTCCTGCCTTGCTCAGAGCATTGAGCTCAGTTACTTCTGGGCTGCAGGGACTGCAACCTGAGCTCAGCGTCTGTGAAGGATTTTTCAAATACAAACCTGAAATTTTATGCATACATGTGCCTACACATGCTGTTCTCCTACCTGCTCAGCCAAATATGCATTACTTTGGGGTTAAATCCTTATGTATGAAAGGTAAATTGCAAGAAGGTATATATACACATATGTACACATACATTTATTTATTTTGGTCTTGGTCCCTGGAATAGGCTTTAGTAAGGTTCGTGATTACTGATAAAAATTGATTGTACACAATATACTTTTCTGTTGCTGTGATAAAATGCAGTACCCAAAAGCAACTTATAGAAGAAAGACCTCATTTTGGCTTACAGTGAGGGAGTGAGGAGAAAGAGAGAGGGGGGGGGGGAGAGACAGAGAAGGAGAGAGAGGGAGAGACAGAGAGAGAGAGAGAGAGAGAGAGAGAGAGAGAGAGAGACAGAGAGAGAGAGACAGAGAGAGAGAGACAGAGAGAAAGAGAGAGACAGAGAGAAGAAAGTGTGTACATAATGGCAAGGAGGCAGGGGAGCCGGAGGCTGGCTGAACATATTTCAACTGCACACAGGAAGCAGAGGGAGTGCAGGAAGCAGAGTCAAGCTGTGAAAACCCTCAGACTGTGTCCTCAGTGAAGCATTTCCTCCAGCAAGGCTCTGTCTCCTAAGGTTTATAGTACCCGGCACTGGGGACCAAGCATTGACATACATGAGCCCTGGGGGCCTGTTCTCACACTAACCCCCACTCATACTGACTATTATATGCTATTGTAACAATGTAATTAATGCTGTGATAACAATGATGTAAGGAGCACCTGGGGTTGGGGGTTTCCCATGGGATACCGAAATACTTCTATTAGAACAAGCTCCTGTTTCTGAAACCCAAAGGTTTGTTTTGTTTTTTTGTTTGTTTGTTTGTTTTTGAGACAAGGTTTCTTTGTGCAGTTTTGGAGCCTGTCCTGGATCTCGCTCTGTAGCCCAGGCTGGCCTCGAACTCACAGAGATCCACCTGACTCTGCCTCCAAAGTGCTGGGATTAAAGGCGTGCGCCACCACCGCCCGGCTCCCAAAGTTTTCAGGAAACACCATGTTGAGCTTCTTTGCATTCCTGCCCTAGCACTTGGACAAGTGCCTGATGCACAGTGAGCACCCCACAAGGGTTTGTTGACTGACTGAGTGAACAGGCTCTGAGAGATCTGATAAAGGAATCCCACTTGTAGCCGGAAAGAAGCATTCTGATGCGGCACACCCTTTCATTCCAGAGCTTTCTCGGCTCACTCCCCCCGCCCCACCCTCGTGCTTCCACACAGTCTCACGCAAACCAAGCAACTCTCGCCAAGCACAGATGAGTGTGTGGGGACACAGCAGTGCCCCAGCTGTGCTCCTTGCTCAGGTGATTTTTAACGCTGTTTGTTTGTTCCACCTAGCCTATCAGGTGTACAAGAGGAGGCAGAAGAGCAAACACAGGAGGCAGCACCCCGATTGCCCTGAGGTCTGCTACGAGAAGAAGCCCCGAGAGACCAGTGCCTTCCTGGAGGAAGGTGATGACGCTGCTGTAACTCTGGGGCCATCAGAGCCAGAACAGCAGCACAGGGTTGCTGAGTAATCAGCCACATTCCGTCATGTGACTAGTGGGAGACAACAGGCCAGTAAAGATGTTCACTGTGATGTGCAATCATTGGCAGGACTGTGTGGATAAGCAACAGAGAGTTGGATTCTTATGTTTTTCGTCCCTGTCTCTTGTGGGACAGCAAATGGTGGCAAGGTGGCTGGCAGTGAGCGGTAGGCATCTCCGGGCGAAGCTGGCCTCCTGTTGTGGATTTACACCCAAGAGAGAGAACGTGGTGTATGGAGATAGCACTCACACTGCAGGATGGAGCGGGTCTAGATCCACATGGCTTCTTGGCGTCAAGCAGGTACTCTGGAGTTCTAGGGAAGAGATACTAAAAGAAAATGAGCTTCAGCAACACAATTTTTAAGGGGTCAAGTATCTTGCAATTTTGTTTATGTGTGTAATGCAAGCTTAGAGAAAATCTGAAGAAGACGTGAAGAATCTAAAAAGTAAGTATCTGAGCTATTCCAGAGAGGAACAGACAAGTGCCTGAAATTTCCAAAACAGACTCATGGCACTTGCCGAGAATCTCCAAAACAGCAAAGATGATCCTTGAGTATCCTGTGCACCAAATCATCTAAAAAGCTTGGAGCTTATTTCCTGTGTGTTCTGACTGTCGACAAACGAGTATCTCAGAACATGTCTTTATACACCTGTCTGTGTTACCTACCTCATCCTTTAGAACAGTGGCTACGTTCAAGTGTTGTGTTATATAGGACTGACTGTAATTTATTTAACTCGTCTTTCTTAGTGGGTATCTCGATACCTTCCAGTGTAGTGCTGCTGTGAACCCTGACCCTCACACCCATGTCCTGTAGACTCCTTCCTTCAGTTCTCTACTGGGCAGATCCACTGCTCCTGAAATCTTGGACAGATTGCTCTGTCCTGGAAGGGCTCTGTTGTTCAATCTGAATCTGTTGTTCAGAAATGATTTTTTTCTTCCCTTTGATTTGTGAAAACGTCTCATTAAAGTTATATCAAAATCATGAACTAGAACACTTTTATGTTCATTTCCTTCTTTATGTGTTTGACCTGCTTTTTTTCCCCACGCTATTTTTATTTTGCCTTTTTTGAAGACAGGATTTCACATTGTAGCCCAGGGTGGTTTTAAGCTTTCCAAAATCCTCCTGCCTCAGCCTCTCCAGTGCTCAAAACTGCAGTGTGATCCACTGTGCTGACTACTTCCCTCTTACCGTGATCTAGGCAGCTGCATTTTTCCTGTGTGTCATCAAGGCTCTCTCAGCTTTGGTTTCCTTATTATGTCTGTTACTGTAGACTTACATTTTCTACACATTTTAGCTTTATCAGTCTTTTAGAAAATGTTGTAAAGACCAGAAGTTGGAATGTTATTTTTTTATGCAGATTATGAACAGTCATATGCCCCCTGTGGAGAAGCTCATGGCCCCTCTTCAGATGTTTACTCTCTGCAGGGGGTATTTAATGCCCCTGTGGTAGGTGGTGTCTGGCAATGAGTAAAATCCACACCTCCCTACCCTGACATTATTAAAAACGTTTTCCTGTATGCCTTTCTGTTACCTCTGTGAATGTAATACTTGCCTACCCCTCATTCTTGGTGCAGTGTGTTAAAATTCTCTTTTTAAAATCTGTCCTCATTTACTTTTGTTTCGTGTATGTGTGTTAGGGGCGTTGGTCCTCGCCTTCTGCCTGGTTGGGATGGAATCTTGTGTTAGTCACTGTGTGCCAAGCCAGTTGTCCAGTGCTCCCGGGACAGTGCTCTCTTGTCTCACCTCAGGAGCCCTGAGATTTCAGAAGCACTAACCCCTGCTTCTAGATGTATATAGGTGGATTCTGGGCATGCAAACTCAGGCCCTTTAGCCTGTGAGGAAAATGCTCTACCCACTGAGCCGTCTGCCCAGCCCAAGAATTTTATTTAATTATTTGGTTTTAGATTTCTTTTACATACATGGGTGTTTTGCCTTGCATGAATGTGTGTGCGTCATGTATGTCTGTGCCAGCAGAGGTCAGAAGGAGGAGTTGAATCCTCTGGAACTGAAGTTATGGATCAGTGTGAACCACTAGATGAGTGCTGGGAACCAAACCCAGGTCCCTCACAAGAGCAAGGAATCAAATGCTCTTAACCACTGAGCTGTCTCCACAGCCCTGATTCCATTTTTCATTTGGGGTCCTCTCGAAGAGCAGCAAATGCTCCTAACCATTGGACCATCTCTTTCCATGGTATTATATATATGATTGAATATATGATGCTGTGCCAATTAACCCAATATATAGAATTAATATATAATATAGTCTAATATGTATAAACATATAGTTAACCTAATATTAGGTTAATATATATTATAAACAATTTCATATATTCAATCATTTATCTCTTCTATGCTCATTAAAATGTTTCCTTTATCCCATAACCTCACATATACTTGTTTTTATTTATTATTCAATTTCTGGTGGTAGGGCCTAAACCCAGGGCCTCACACATGCCAAGTAAGCACTCTGCCACAGAGCCACACACACAATCCTCTATGGAATGTGTGTGTTATTGGGACCCTGACTTAATTTTGGACTTATTTTATTCATAAATTTTGCGGTGTGAGAAAATATGTAATCTGAGGTTAAATGCTTTACCCATTTATCCTTTAAGTTTTCTCAGTATGTGTGGGGCGTTTACCCACCAACCCCACAGCTCCCCAGGGTTTTCTTGAGTGTGAGCAGCAGGAAATATTAGATAGAAGGATTTATTGCGGAGAATCTTGCAGAGATAAACAGATAGAAAATAAAGGATAACCTCAAGAGGGCCTGGAACCTTTTCCAACGGCCCCACTGTCTCTGCCCCAGGGTTTTTATAGAGACGCCAAGGGGTGGAGCAAAAGACCTCCTCCCCCAGCACAGCCAAGTGCAGACCATCTCAGACACCTGCACTCAGGCCCGTGGTCTAATCATCCTCTATGCGGACCTGCTGGGTAAAGCCACGAGGAACCTGAAAATGGGCTCCCACAAGTGTGTGTTTTGGGCGAATACGACTTCAGTGATTCTTAGGGCATTTTTCCAATTCAGAATATTTCTGTGGCAGTATGGACGGATCCCCACCAGGATTTAGAGTGACAAATACTCATTTGTGACGTGATTGCCAGTTCCTGTGTCCTTGCCGCGTGGGGATGCCTGCTTCTCCACTTGATAAATGTTCAAAGGAAGCCAGTCTCTGCCTCAGTTGGCCCCACAGGACAAACAAATCAGCGCAGCAAGAGTTCTTTCTCTTGGGAGTTCATAGTCTAGGGGAAGTCGACAGAGACCGAGAGGTACACGGGCAGGGGAGTGGAGAGTTAAGATCCAAAAGGAGCATCACCCACCGAGAGGTTTAGAAGACCCACGAGAAAGGAGTTGCTGGATGTTTCTCTAAAAGAGCACCTGTGGAAAATGTAGAATTCAACACTCTGTCCTGAGTTAGCAATATCATCAGAATCTGCCACTTAGGACATCCCCAAGAAGGGGACACATATGTGAAAGGCTGTTTTGTTATAGACAGAAACACCAGTCATCACAAATGGTACATGTGAAGGCTGCCGCTGAATCTGCGCAACACCGGCCTGCTTGTAGGGACATCTGCGGTTCCTAGAACAGAGGGTAAAACCTGGGGGGCTGCTTAGCTTTGTTTTGTTTTTCAACTTGAAACAAGCTGGAGTCATCTGGGAAGAGAGAGATCAACTGAGGAACGCCTCCCTTGGTAGGCAAGTCAGTGGGGGGCGGGGTGTTTTCTTGATTAGTGATGGATGTGGGAAGGCCTAGCTGACTCTGGGGGCAGTGACACCCCGGCAAGCTATCTTGGGTTGTATTTAAGCAAACTGAACAGACCATGGGGAACAAGTAGTAAGCCATCTTCCTCAGTGGTCTCTGCTTCAGTTCCCACCTCTGGGTTCTGCCTTTAGATCCTGCCCTGACTGCCCTCAGTGATGGAGAGTGACCTGGGTGCACATTAAGTCAAATAAACCCTTCCCCCAGGTTGCTTTTGGTCACGGTCTTTCTCACAGCAATAGAAGACAAAGGACACTTCAAAAAGTGACTAAGCTGCGTGGTGGAAGCACACACACCTTTAATCCCAGCACTCAGGAGGCAGAGGCAGGAGGATCCCTGTAATTTTGAGGCCAGCTTGGTCTACAAAGCAAGTTTTAGGACAGCCAGAATTATTAGAGAAACCCTGTCTCAAAAAAAAAAAAAAATGCAACACAAACAAAGAAAAAACAAAAATTTGGCTAAGTGCATTACATTATAGTTGATTCAACGAATGATAAGCTGCTAAAAGCTGGCCCTCGCATGACCCTCTTCAGAGGTGGGGTTAATGTGGGCTAACGAGACAGCACGGCCAGGCAGCGGGTGGGAAGGGCATGGCTTTCCCAGCACTGTTGTTTTCCACACAGATATCTGGGATACTGTGAGCTGGGGTTGAAGCTGGAACTGATGCAGCCATTTCCAGACCATGAAGAGAGGCTGGGGTAATTACAAAGCTGTCGGCGTTCCTGACCTATAGAGATAATGCTAGAGAAGGTCTGTGCGTGAGCTTGTTGGAGATTCTGGAAAGGCAGCTCAGCTACTCCTACACCCTTGACCTCTATCGGCAGAGGTCATTCTCTTTGACCAACCAAGCAGACAGCTTCCAGAGGGACACTGATGGAGAGGCGAGGGAGGAAGGGGACTGTCTAGTCCAGTCAGCTACCTCAGCCAAATCCACCCCAGCAACCCATGGGCAACAGGTCAAGGATCACCTTCATATCCGGGCTTGCTTTCTTATAAAGGGAAGAAAATAGATGTCCCGTTTGGGTCAGCACAGTCAGGTGCTTTATTGATACCTGCACTCAAATACAAACTGAAATTGGTACATTAAAATTTAATTGAGCCGGGCGGTGGTGGCGCACGCCTTTAATCCCAGCACTCGGGAGGCAGAGCCAGGCGGATCTCTGTGAGTTCGAGGCCAGCCTGGTCTCCAAAGCGAGTTCCAGGAAAGGCGCAAAGCTACACAGAGAAACCCTGTCTCGAAAAAAAAAAAAAATTTAATTGCTCTTCAAATTTTCTGCAGGTTAACCAATAATTTGTCAAATATATCTCCATCATAAGAAGGCACCTTGAAGCTGGGCAGTGATGGCTTATGCATTTAATCCCAACACTTGGGAGGCAGAGAGGCAGATCTCTGAGTTCGAGGCCAGCCTGGCCTACAAAGTGAGTTTCAGGACAGCCAGAGTTACACACAGAAACCCTTTCTCAAAAAAAAAAAAAAAAAACCAAAAACAACAACAACAAAAAAAAAAACAACAACAAAAAAAAACGAGATCTAAACAGAATTCTCAACAGAGGAATCTCAAATCGCTGAGAAATAACTACAGAAATGTTCAGCATCCTTAGTCATTAGAGAAATGCAAATCAAAACAACTCTGAGATTCCATCTTCCACCTGTCAGAATCGCTAAGATCAAAACCACAAATAACATGCTGGAGAGGATGTGGAGCAAGGGGAACACTCCTCCACTGCTGGTGAGAAAGCAAACTTGTATAGCACTATAGACATCAATATGGCAGTTTCTCAGAAAATTCAGAATCGATCTACCTCAAGACCTAGCTATACCACTCCTGGGCATATACCCAAAGGACACTCCATTATACCACAAGGACACTTGCTCAACTATGTTCATAGCAGCTTTATTCATAATAGGCAGAAACTGGAAACAACCTAGATGCCCCTCAACCAAAGAATGCATAAAGGGAATGTGGTACCTTTATGCAATGGAGTATTACTCGTCTGTTAAAAACAATGACATCATGAAATTTGCCAGCAAATGGATGGACCTAGAAGAGATCATTCTGAGTGAGGTAACCCAGACCCAGAAAGACAAATATGGTATGTCTTCATTCATAAGTGGATACTAGTTGTAAAGGGTAACCATGCTACAATCCACAAACCCAAAGAAGCTAAGTAATAAGGAGGGCTCAAGGGGGGATGCATGAATCTCACTGTGAAGGGGAAATAGAATAGACATATCAGGTGGATGGGGGGAGGGGTATGAAAGGGGGGTGGGCATGAGAACAGGAGGGAACAGGTTGGGGCAGAATGCAGGGAGAGAGTACTGGGAAAGACAACTAGAATCAGGGGCATCTCTGGGCTGAGCTAGAAACCTACTGCAATGGAAACTCCCAGGAATCTATGAGGGTGACCCTAACTATGACTCCTAGCAATGGGCAATACGGAGCCTGAACTGGCCTGTAGTTGGAATTTTCTTTGGGCCACCAACCAGCTCCAAAATAAAGAAATGGAGACATATTATTAATTATCAATGCTTGGCCTTAGCTTAGGCTTGTCCCATTAGCTCTTAAAACTTAATTTAGCCTGTTCCTATTCATTTTAATTATGTCTCAGGGCTTTTTACCTTTCTTTCATTCTGTAAGTCCTATATTCCTGCTTCCTTCATGTCTGTCTGTCTGGCCCCTGGCATCTCTCTGGTGTCTCTTTTTCTTTCTTTCTTATTCTCAAGCCTATATTCTTCCTCCTATTTACTCTCCCTGCCTAGAAGTCCCACCTATATTTCCTCCCTTGCTATTGGCTGTTTAGTTTTTTATTAGACCAATCAGGTGCCTTAATCAGGCAAGGAAAAACAGCAACACATCTTTACATAGTTAAACAAACATTCTGAAACATCGGCCATTTCCTGTGACTAGGCAAGACCTCCAGTGGAGGGAT